TTTTTTCGTTCAGGCTGAGGAAACTTTCAATGACATAGCGTAACGCTAACACATGCATGTTTGAGAAAAATTTCTTCCGAACATTTTTAACTCAATATCTACAAAATGCTCAATTAAGGCTTTATTGATGGAAATTGCTGGGAACACGGTGCAGAGGCGTTTTTGCATTACTACAAAAAACAGCGATTTCTACTCAAATTTTATTTAACTTGTGGAATAACCTTGCTTTTACTGCGTTAAAAGCAAGAGCGTGGTTTTATCCAAATGTATAGATGCAGTACATTTCACCACGGGCGGTTGCCTACCGCTGTTTCTCAGATATGATTCATCTTGTTCAGAATGTATTTATTGGCTGGCTTGGCTCCCAAGAGCACTGATGGTGTTTTGTATTATGCATAACGCGACCCAGCAGCCGAGCGAGAAAAATATCCTGCTTCCGAGCGACTAAAAAATCTGTTACTGGTTCAGGTCCATTGAAGGTCTCGGGGAACCGGCGTGTGTGACTAACGTCAGTTCTTATGGCCGAGAGCTCTTTAGAACAGCGTGAAGCGAACGTCGTGCTTCTGCCTTAAGTGTTATAGCGCTTCAAAACGCGCGTCTAAGCCTTAACTTCCCTCCAGATTTACCAAAGATTTTTTAGTGGGCCTGGTCATGGGCCCACCCAGCGAAGTACATCGTTAATCCTTTGTCAAGTACTTTTTTGAAGCGATAAGAAATGAAACACTTCTAGATTTACGATATGAATTTTTAGTTCAATTTTAGATGCTTGCAGTCGCATATTTGGTACTATATATAAATAATTGAAATTTTAAAATTTGTAGGCAAGGTCTACTTAGATCAAAATTTGTGTCGCTATTCATGGCTTGCGACTGGTGAGAAAAGCACGGTGTCCACACTGTTTGGTAAGTGGCTATTTATTTATCTCGTATATTTTCTAATTATTCGTTGAATATTTCTATTGGAATACTGATGTGTTATACACGATTGCATCAATATAATATTTGTATGTGTAGTTTACGTTTGTTCATTTGTATGCTAATTTTTTTTGAGAAACCGTTTGCGGAATGTTGAATAAAAGAGTCAATCATTGAAGCCTTTGACATCATACTACGCGTTAATTCTACAGTGATGGAAACATAGAATACAAAAATCGGCATGTGAATTTATGCTAATGTAGAGGTCGTCTTTAATGCCTATTTAGTAGTCCATTTACCCTACTTCTCACAATCAAGTAGCACAAATATACATAAGCTTTGAAATCCACGCATGAGTTTTAAATCTATCTCCTTATTCAAGTTTAATTAGCCATTAGTAGTCATTTGATGCCCTAAAATGCGAAGTTTTAGAATCGTTATCAAGTTTGGTGTCAATATCAGAAGTTTGCAACATTTTTTATGGGCTTGATCGCAAATTGGCGCTGCTGCCATCACTGTCAACTATGAAGATTCGTCGACACGCAGTTTGTCGCAGTTTGATGAACTTGGATACGCAATTACTGCGCTAAATTGATTTCAAGCTCATCAGGAGCCTCACTCGACGCAAACCTTTGCGTGCATCAAAAACAAGTTTGAACTTAACGTTAGGCTAAGTCTATTTATGATGGATATACGACTTGGCGAGTCAAATTTATGTTAGACATACGGTTTGGTGAGTCAAAATAATTAAAAAAAATTCGTTCATGACACGTTCAACTCACAATTTCAGATAATGACAGTTTATCCCTGTCCAAAATTTGAAAAGATTATATTATTTATCCGCACATTAGCTCATTTTCTCCATTTCAACATACGCAAATTTTAATATCGAGAAACTGTGTAACAATGTAGAATGCTTCAAGTTGAGCTATCACAATTGCCAGTGGTTGGTTTTAGATTTTTTTTTCAAATTAAAATGAAACTTTTTGTAAAATTTTTAATTGGAAATTCTACAATTGATTTGTTTCGAAAACAACGAGGCAATTGAACCTGAGTCAACAAGCCAAAATTGTCTAAGAAAAAAAAACCTAGATTGAACTGCAAGTAACTCAATTATTCCAAATAATCAACGTGTTCGTGCAAATACCTCGACGTAGTGGTTTTTTCGTTACAGATACTGGAGATTTTGTCTTCAGTCCCCAACGATTTTTGCTAACGCAGTTGAGTTTTAAGAGTTTATTTACGGTGTCTTTGTTCTCGCAAGCCTTGATAAAAACACGCAACAGGATTAGCACAATGCAAGAATTTTTCTCTCTGAGTTGGAATTGAAAATTTCGAGAGAATTTCGCTGTGAACAATATTTTCCTAGTGATTCTGGTTCAGGAACAAAAATGAATTAAGATTAAAATTTATTAAGCAATAATCTTTGCCGGTGACGCATAAAATGTCGTTCATCATTTGGAAACGACTAAATAAATTAATTGTCCAGTGAATGTCTTTTTATATCTTTATTCAATAAGGAGACAATGAATGTCTCTTTGTTGTGAATGCTGTTAAAATAATCGGCCACGTTAATAAACGAAAAACATTTAAAACAAATTTTAATTGACACCTGTTCTATAAAAAATGTCGCTGCTTTTTTTACAAAACATTTTAAAACAAATTTTCATTGACGTTTGTTGTATCAGCTGAATTGTGCATGCACTTTCTACCATCACACTCACACGATTTTAGGAAAACATTTTACAAGTAAGACCATTTACCGAACAGATAAGACCATTTACCGAACAGATAAGACCATTTACCGATCAGATAATACCATTTACCGAACAGATAAGACCATTTACCGATTAGATATGACCATTTACCGAACAGGTAAGACCATTTACCGAGCAGATAAGACCATTTACCGAACAGATAAGGATAAGACCATTTACCGATCAGATAATACCATTTACCGAACAGATAAGACCATTTACCGATTAGACAAGACCATTTACCGAACAGATAAGACCATTTACCGAACAGATAAGACCATTTACCAATCAGATAAGACCATTTACCGAACAGATAAGACCATTTACCGATTAGATAAGACCATTTACCGAACAGATAAGACCATTTACCGAACAGATAATACCATTTACCGAACATATAATACCATTTACCGAACAGATAAGACCCTTTACCGAACAGATTAGACCATTTACCGAACAGATATAAGACCATTTACTGAACAGATAAGACCATAAGACCATTTACCGAACAGATAAGACCATTTACCGAACAGATAAGACCATTTACCGAACAGAAAAGACCATTTACCGAACAGAATATTAGGTGCAGATATCTTGCTCCCTGTGGAGCTTCAACACGTTGCATTTCAACGACCATAAGACGTTCAATCTTCCTCACTGATTTCAATTTCAAGCGCAAATGGGCAATCGCGCTCGGATATGCGGTAACCGACCGAAGAGAATTTCCGCCTTCACAGTTCAAAAGCATCATACGACCTCTCGTCAAGCCAAACACTAGAATGCCTTGAAAAAATACTAAAAAACCATTTGCTTCACAACGCTAGTCGGTTTTCACGAATAAATCGGAAACAATAAATGGTGCAAAAAGTTCGTATGGAGCTTTTCGCCCTGACTTTTCATGACCAATATTTCACTTCAGTTTTCGTTTTTACATTTTGGCGAGCATTCAATGAATAAATAAGCAAATCTTTCGGTTTTCATATATTAAACCAATGATGATAATTATAGGAGGAACAAAAATAATAAATAAAAAACAACAATAATAAATAAACAACAAATACAAATATATAGACCATGTGTTTTCTTTGATTTAGAACTAGAACGGTTGCGTTTTTTTTTTTTTTTGCTAAACCAACGAAAAATTTACCAACGAAAGCAGAATATTAAAGGGATTACTATATAAATGAGGAATATATAGAATAAAATTCATGACAACTATATGAACACGGTTGAAGTTACATGCTTAGGACTAACACATTATGCTAACAACTATTTATGACGCATTAACACATCCACAATTCTATAATGGAATCATGGGACACTATGATATCTAATAACCACACACAATGTCACATCTGAAGTGATTCAAAAGTAGAATAACAAATTTGAAGTCCTATCGCGATCCCTTACTACAAAGCGCGCAGGAACGCTTCGACTGATTAGTAAATATTTCAGAAATAAATTTCAGCAAAAGTACAGCCATTGAAATTTAATTACATTCATTCCTTGAATATCAGTTCATTCTTTGTCAGTGTACAATTACAAAACCTAATATCAAAGAATAGAGAAAATTTTGCGATAAACTCTCATAATAAATTGCAGCAAAGTATTTCTAAAATGCAGAAGTAATTGACCATTGGCAAAATCCATACGACATGCATTTCAACTACCGGCAGTCTGCCGACGCTAACACATGACTTCTTATTTTTTTCTCTGAAGCCTGAAATCAACCTGTCAATTAGTTATGAAATTGATTAGTTGATGTTGAAGTGAGAATTTATCGGGAAGCAAATTATTTATATACCCTCCATTTTGCAATGGAAGTTGACAGCGCAAGTTAATGATAAAAATCTGCAGATGCTTGCTGTTTATTCTGAATTAATTCTTTCAATATATTTTTTAATGACACCGGCATTGCAGGAAATCATCAGGAGTTTTTAATATTTGTAGTACGGTAATGTGTTTTGGATACACATTTCGCATTAATAAAATATTATTAATATCCATCATAATAATGATGGATTTTAATAATATTTTTAATGTTTGCATATACAGAATACAAAGCGAAAAAAGATTTTCAAATGAAGAATGGTATATTATAATCTTGGTGAGAACTGTACTTTGTCAAAATTGTTTTAAAATATTGTTTTATTTCATATTATTATGCTTTCAAATATGCTACAGGGTGAACTTCTTCATTTAATAAGAAATAATATTTTTTGGCATTTAGTTTTAAGCAACGTTAAGATATTTCTTCCTTAATGATGAGCAAATACAACATTTTTGTTGAAAAGTTAATGATATGCATGTTCAATTCTTACGGACTTACCTGTTGATTTCTGTCCGTTGACTTCCCGGGCACAGCTTGCTCCATTGTTGATAGCATTGCTGTTGACAACGCCGTTGTTCAAGCTACTGTTGGCACCGTTGATGTTGACACTACTACTACTGTTGCTATGGTTATTCATGTTGACACAGTTATCTATGTTATCACTTAAACTCCTATCGTCCTGCCCAAGTGCACTGATATCGACTAGAGTTTGATCGGCTACACAAGAAAATGCTGGGGTAATTTCACTCTCACTTTTGTCCACAAAATCTTCTTGTTTCCTGGCTTTGACTTTATGAACTGTAGAGTTCGCCACCAGGCCAGTCATTATCATCTGCCTTGAAGGGGACGGGTCAGAGGGAGCAAGGCTAGTGTAGGTCCAAAATTCATGGATACAAATTCATGTGTTCTTATAAGTATTCACAACATATCTGTTGGAACAAGAATTTTGAAAATGAAATAAAATTACGATAACAATACCCGACGGTTTTCTTGATTACGCAATGATTACTTTTCTGATAATTAACGATGAATTTAAATTCGGGTGACATTTTCTCAAAGTGTGCCAACATACGAAAAATGTGAATAAAAAACATGACACGAAATTAAAAAAAAATCACTCCAAGTCTCAGAAATTGGTACAAATCTCAAGTCATAACCAATTTAATATAATAATTTCAAGAATAATAAAAGTATATGCAATTGACTAATTAATGGACCCTACTCATGATCGATGGATCATGAGTCGGGTTCCAGAACCCTGATCTTGACTCGTCCAGGGTGGAATTAATGGCACCGCAGCCCTTGTATGCACAAGAACAACGCGATGCGCTTGAATAATGGCATGGCAAATGCGACGCTCGCAGATCTCTTGCAGAACAACGGGGAGAAGCCTTTTTTTATTATGTTACGATCCCTTAGGGGTTTTTGTGGTTATTGTCTATAATGCGAAGACTCGCACGAATAGACAGCCAAGTTTATTAGCTATTATTTTTATGATAACAATTGCAGCTAGTAAATATAAACGACTGTGTCATAAATTTGATGATATTAAATACTGAAAATAGTAAATGCGGCACAGACTACGCACGAGTGGGTCATTATTAAAAATAAGATCTTTCCTCATTTCAGATTCGAAAATAATAAAGCGAAAGAAAATACACCCATAAGATACATACCTTCGTTTCGCACGAATAGACAGCCAAGTTTATTAGCTATTATTTTTATGATAACAATTGCAGCTAGTAAATATAAACGACTGTGTCACAAATTTGATGAAATAATATACTGAAAACAGTAAATGCGGCACAGACTACGCATGAGTGTTGCATTATTAAAAAATAAGATCTTTCTTCATTTCAGCTTCGAAAATAATAAAGTGACTGAAAATACACCCATAGGATACTTGTAATGGATTGTACGTTTAATGTTTCATATGATATGAAACGAATGATTTTGATTTTTTCAGAGTTTTGGTATAAACAAATCGTATTATTGATATAAAGTCTAATTTTGCCCAAAAATTTGAGAACATCATTGGGAAAGGGAAAAGTAAAGTATGCAAAATAGAACGAATAAAGTATATAAATTCTAACAGAAATAAGTTTGAATAAATCACAGTTTTTATTTTATATATAACTTCATTCCAACGCTTGCAGAAGTGTAATATTTTAACAAAAAGCACAAGAAGGAAATAATAAGAATAATTATGCGGCTTATTCCCTTCAATGAAATATGAAACAATATTTTGGTGCTGTACAAAAATCCTTTGAAGTTGACGTATTTTTGTATTTGTTCAAAAACATTGAACTTTATATTTTGTTCATTTAATCGCTTGGTATTTGCTAAAAAGAAAAGATACATGGTTCCAAGTTACAAAAGAAATGAAAACTATGTTAAATCTCCGATTCAAATTTCCTGCAATGCATTTACAAGTCTTGGAATTTTAGTTTCGGCCTTGGTGAGTCTCATTGAAATTCGTAGCTCTTGCGGGATATCTGAAAGAAAAGCGAGCGAAATTCAGCAGCCTTGCGCAGCATTTAAGACGAGCATTTTTTCATGTCAGTCTGATAGGTAAAAATTTAATATTTCAGTAATAAAAAAGATCGTAATATGTAACACGTAAATACATCGTGATTTTAACAGCAAATAAAATAACACTGAGACTCACAATATTCGAAAAGAAATCTTTTTGCTGACCTTCTACATAATCTTTCAGAAAATTCTAATAATAGAACCTAATTGGCGTTGAAAACGAATGATACTAAGGAGAAGGAGATATCTAACCATTAATTATATTGAGCGAATAATAAATAAAGAGTTGCATTTACGAACGAAAGTAGCAAAGCTGTAGCTCAAAGTTAAAGAATTAAGAAAGAAAATATTGACAACATTTTTGAGTTCACCTCTTTCAGATCATTAAGTTCAGTTGACCACGAATCTAATATGGCCTTAAATTATGGTGATTCGTGAAACTTTTAAAATATAGTTAAAATTTGTTTAACCAACTGTTAATTTAAGAAATGCATGGTAATTTCCATGTACTTCTATATATGCTTTAGTTAATAAATATTAAAGTAGTAGACTCCACAAAAAATAATTCATATAAATCCATCATGTAAAAGAGTCTGATAACAAATGCAACACACGAGTATTGCGGCAGCGGGAACAATATTAGGCAGCGAGCACAGGTCGCGTGATTAAATCATCACTAACAAAAAGGTCTTAGATTTTTGTTTTACATATGTGTACCAAGTTTCAAAACGATCCGTCTGTAAACAAAAAAAAGTTATGTTGGAGGGTAGCCGGTCCCCTTAAGTAAAATCTAAAGGCTTTATCTATAAATGTAGCGGTAGCGCTGTAGCGGCAAAACCTCGTGTCGCTACTTAAATATGTAGCGGGCGCTACCGCTACCGCTACATTGCCTTAAATGTAGAGCCGCTACCGCTACCGCTACTGAAAATGTAGCGGCCGCTACATGTAGCGCGCTACTGCCCACCTCTGATCACTACAACTCCGCAGCTGATTCACGTCATGTGAAAAATATGATATTGGTTGATGCCAAAAAAAAATTGATTCAAAATTGGTTGATGGAAAATTTGTAATTGGAAAAGCTTTGGCGCTTATCATTCTCTTCAGTTTCTGGTCACGTGAAAATAGAATAACAATAATANTTTGGCGCTTATCATTCTCTTTAGTTACTGTTCACGTGAAAATAGAATAACAATAATAGATATTTACATCTTTGATTAATGGAAGCCCTTTTATTATATTCGACAAGAAACACATATCGTGCACTGCACTTTTATTCTGTAATTCGTTACTTTATTTTATCTTTTATTGTTTTGATATTTATCCAGTGTTTCTCTGCCTCAAAACGAGAAGATTTTGAAAACACAGAGTCCGCCAGTAGGGCATTTGTATGCGCAGAATAAATTTACCAATGGCTTGTGCTTTTCGTTTTATAATGGAAGAATATTGAGCTTCTTGTAACTTATGTTTTTTAACAACTTTGAAAATTTTCAAGTTTTCAAAAAAGTAATAATGATATTAAAAATTTCAGCTATTTATGCTTGCTATTTACACCAAAGAATGGACCGATATTTTTAATGCTTTTTACAAGGAAATCATGTATGGAATACAGCAAATACAGGCCATCTGTGTTGAGCGGGTCGACGTCTGAAGCACCATCAGAGTGGCCACCCTAGCTCCTCTCCTGCATCTTTGCGCTGCTCTTGGCCTCATAATAGCTTAGAATCCTACCGTCCTTCCTTCCTTAGAATCCTGCCTTCCTTCCTAACTTAGAATCCTACTTTCCTTCCTTCATTAGAATCCTACCAAGAATTTCTTGACCTGCTGCCAACGAGGCTTCTGTGTCTGCAGAAGCATACATTTGAAGGAATGACTTAAATTAATAACTACAGAAATTATTAAGCGTGCAAAAAGTATAGACTCATGATCGGCTTTCAAGTGTATTAATTTTCATACAAGTATTTGTTGAATAATAGACCAAGATTTAATCTTCAGAACGAAAAAAAATCTGAAATAATGCATATTAAAATGCTCATGTCCCTGAAATGCCCCTTTTATTTTCTACTATATATTTAAGTAACACAGATTGAGCTAGAATACAGAACAATGAATTTTTTACGAGTAACAGTCATCAATACGTTTTAAAAATTGTTATTGGCTGAAAATTACAGTGAATTTACACTCTTTATTTATTTCCTTTGACCGATAATATCCTGCATATAGCAGCAGGTGTGAATGTGTCTCTACGGCACATGCGGCATGGCAATTTCGCTATAGGCGTATCATCGGTGGCCACTCAGTGGCCAATGATCGGTCGGGCATGTCTTGCTGAAGACCGTCAAGAGGTCGTTGAAATATTCAGTGGCTCTCCAGTTTGGGTGCTTAGGGTCCGTTGTCGCTGTCGCTGACAATTTTTATCGCTCCTTTCTTCATCTCTTGATATTCACCGTACGTTTTCAACTTATTTAGTCCTTCATTTAGGAATGCATATTCTTTTCTTATCAGTTTTTTATTATTAATATTATTTAATCGCCCACTCGCACTTCCTTTTTCGCTCCTTCATCTGATCATATATATTTCACGATTATCCTTTTAATTTGCGATTTTCGGCAGTTATTGTTTCGGAACTTTAAGCATTGACCATTCATTTCATTCCTTACTCTGAATTGGTTTCAATTATTATTTAGTTTGGCTATAATATTGGTTGGAAGATGATTTTCGTGAAATTCCAAGATAATTAAAGGAAAGAGATTGTACAATGCTGCATCAAACAGAATTTTATGCGACAAAATTCATTTAATCGAAAATTTATTTAGTTAAGCAGAAATAAATCCTGTATTATGAGGAGGTATTTTTAGCGCATTTTCTCATTTATGGAAAAAATGCACTATTGTGCTCGCCATGTCCGTCTGTCCGTCCGTCTGTCCGTCCGTGACCTCAAGTTTTCGTCGACGAGAAAATGCGCTCTCTGTCACTCACTGTAGTGAGTACTGAGTTATATTTTTTCCTCTTCTGGGCATTTTCAATTGCAACATAGAAAGCGAAAACTAAAACTATTTTCACTGTGGAAAAATGGGAATTTTAAGCCTATTGTTTAATATGGGGCCCGTTGTAAGGATTAGACAAAATGTTTACAAAAGGTGCCATTTGATGAAGATTTATTTTTAATAACAGATCCAGCTGGTGAATAAAATTAAAATTCGTATGAAGCCAATAATTAATTTATAGGCTTATTTTTCAATCTAATTTGAATTATTTCGAAGTGACTCGTAGCTAGCAAACTGAAAAATCTATAATGTAGCGTCTAAATATTATTTATGAAGGCGTACAATAAACCGCAACTATTCCCTGTCACTTTTGTAATCAATGCTATGTTAGAGTTGATATA